GGACTGTTGCCTGACTGGGGACTTGTCGAGACGATTGCTTGGTGAGGTTCAATCCAACAGGAAGAAGCCAGTGCGCAAGGTAAGCCGTGTTCCTTCCATCACACTCGTAGCATTCTTTGGACAGTCATCTGGGAAACGCGCATCGTGATAGAAATACCAGCCGTGAAAGTTAGGTCGGTGCTTGCGAAAGAGCGCCTGATATTTTCCTTGTACATGTGTTTGATCGACCTCTGTGAACATCCGGTTGAATTCAGAGTAGTGGATCGTTGAATGAAGTCTCGCCAATCCTCACCATAGCGGACTTGTAGGGATTTGCACGCTTGCGGTAGTCAGTTGTGTGTGGGACCACATTCGAAGCCTTCCGACATGCAGCACGCCAACCTTTGAGAGTCTTGAGATTTCTCGAAACAAACGGGATCATAAAGGTACCACCACCTTCGTCCACCATGCGTAATCTTCCGTCATGTCCCGCAGCTCGAAGGTTTCGGCTTCTGCAAAGTCACGAACAGTGAAGATGCCGTGTTCGTTGAGCTTTTCGATCTTTGCCTTTCCACAGTAAGGAATCATTCCTTTTACGAGGTTGTCCGACATGTAGAGTTTCCCCACTTCCCGTGTCGTAGCCAACCAACCTTGCGTCTTGGCTGGACCACCCGCTCTTCCTTGATCCTGACAATCTCAATTTTGACAAGCTCGCGGTATTTCTTCAAGGAGATGATGTTCCTGCTAGTGTAATCAAACGGATCCAACACCCATCCCTCCTTTCGTTCGACAACACCATCAGCGTTGCGGTAAGATACCATGGCACAGCCAAGTCCAAGCGCGGACCTCATCCTCGTACTTGACGTTCAAGCAGTAAGCAGGAACCGCATGATTGTAGCTTCCGTTTGGATCTGTTTGCCCCTCGTCGTTTCTTGCAAACTGGACAACAGTTTTCCGACCAGCCTGCGCATTAACCGACCCAATCTTGCACTTGCGGTGCATCTCATCCCAGACGGCACAATCATCGACTTGTAAAATCCCATCCTGCGGCTTTGAGTTTCTAATATCAAAGCAGGGCGGAAGATGGAAACTCATGCCAGAACCGGACGCACGAGAGGAATCGTCAGGCTGTTGTTCGAACTGGAACTCGCACTGCCTTCGTCGTTCGCACTGACTTCATCAGGAGGTGGAGTCGGAGGCTGTTGACTGGAAATCGAGCTGGAAGAATCAGCCTTGTAAGAGGAACCAGACGATTCGTCACTGATCCAACCGTCCAAGCCCAACACAACTTGTCGCTGAGGTAGTTCCTCCGGAGGATCCGTCAGCGCAGCCTCACGAAGCCGGTCAGGAACCTCAACATCATGTCCCATGCGAAGTAACAGTTGTGTAGCCCAACCATGACGACGAAGTGCCCAAGGGGAGTTGACGTCCCTGTTGCCTTGCTTCCGCTTGCGAATTGGCACCACCCTGTGCTTGAGTCGTTTCTTCAAGCATCGACGGCAGACCTGGAATAAGGGACAAGCCTCTTTCAATTCGAAGACGATTCAGGTGTTGCATCGCCATTGTCACGCTCATGCTCTTCCGTATCAATGCAGTTGGCAATGAAGGCGGCATCGAAACGAGATCTGTTGGGATGATGACGGGCTTGAGTCCAGCAATGAACCCGCTGGCCGTGTAGACAATGTGTTGCTCGCAGCAATGATTCAAGTCTGGTGAAGACGTCAACATACTTGGTCCGGTTGCTTTCTTCGTACAAGTATCTGCGGATCTTGACTTGCGTGCCGTTGATGCCAATCCAGTGGAGTGTCTTTCGTGTCCTCATGGAATGCATACTTGTAAGCATAAAGATATGCAATAGCCATCTTCTTCGCTCTCTCCTCTGGCAATATCTAGCGCCAAAAGCAAGCCTTAGACCTCTGCTCATTCCGGAATTAATCCATTCATCGTCAGGATCAGGCTCCGAGTTCTTCTTCTTCCATTGAGTCTTCGTCAGGCTTGAGGCGATCCGCCAATGACCGGAGGGCTCTTCCTCATCAGAGGAAAGATCTGCAAGACGAGCGTGATGAGAACGACGGGTTGGACTCATCCCCAAAGCTTCAGCCACGTCACTCGCACGCTTGACACGCTTTGCTATTGCTTCATCATGAGGAGTCGGAGGAGTGACAGTCTGTTGAGCCGGCTTCTTCCTCTTCTTCTTCTTGGCACTCAATCTCCTGCCCTTGCGGCGCTTTGGGGCAACCGGATTGGGATTCGGCATGGTGGAAGGATGGAAGGATCAGTCAACGACGGACGGAAGGAGACGGACCGAGCGTGAAGACACCGCGGGGCAAGCGTGGAGCCTTGTAAGATGACGTGACAGCACAAGCCGAGGAAGGAGTAGAAGAAGAACGACGACGGCAGATCCCCATGGCCGATCCCTCGATCGACCGGAAGAAAGATAATGACCACCATTTCCTGCAGAGGTTTGCTGTTTCGATTGTCAAAATAATGAGATGCCATCTGAAAAGTGAAGAATGGAGATCGACTGATCCTTCGGATGCGATCTTTTGGCGTTGGATCGGCGGCTGTTCGCTCTCTCTCAAGAGATGCCCATGGTCGCAAATTTGGATCCCATCTGACAAAGAGTCAATTCCATGACAACGCACATGCCGCGAAAACAGATGCCCATGGTCGCTGAAACTCATTCGGATGGTTACTCGGAAGGAGTTGGTGTGTTGTGAGAGGATGCACGTCAACAACATGTTCTCGTGGAACGTGTCAACAGCAATCAACATGGGCTTTGACTGACAAACATGGTCGTGAAACTTCTTCTTCGATTGATTTTGGGTGCAACGGCTAAATGCAAACTGTGAAAGAAGTTCTGTGACTGGAGAGCCAGCCATCTAGTTTAAAACTAAGCTCACATTTTGCGCTCACATTTTCGAAATCCCATGAAAATCAGCGATTTCAGTCAATCCAATCGTCTGTGCAAACTCTGTGAGATGAGGAAGTCATCAATCCAGCAAAAACGTTTCGTCAGTCTACAGCTAATACCTATGTGCATGGACTGACGAAACGTTTTTGCCCATTTGGAGCTTCCACTTTCTCATAAACGTTGTACAAGCTTTGATTCCGTACTGAAGCATCAGTACGGTACCGTACTTGTTGTCGCCCTCGGTGCCGTAGTAAGGTATCGGTACACATGGTCCAAACGACAAGGGTATTGACATACTCATCAGTAGTAGCACAGACAACAGGCAAGATGCCGCCCCTGTCGAGAAGAGATGTGTTTATGGCATCTCTTTTAGTTTCCTTGCCGTCAGCGTTTCCCATGATCCCCAGCGACGGAAAGTGTGTGCTGAGCACTTTTTTACCCTTTACCAGTCGACTCAATGAGAATGAGGGACCCATGCGAGATGAACGGTCCTTCCTGAGCTCCTCCCTGATGACTTCTACCTAAGACTACAGTCTGGGCTTTTTCCACATGGCAGCCGCCCTCTTGGCCATGGAAGACTTTAATACTCGGAACAATCGCATTGTCAAGGAAATGGAATCGCTGACACAAAATTGTACCGTTCAATTTGACCTCAGTCAAAGCATGTTTGTGGATACCAGCGCCTTGGCACATTCGGGGTACACTATGGTCATGGATCAAGTCAAACGAGGGGAAGCCTTTCCCTGTGCCTTTGCGGGACCCTACTTTGACCTTCCCGCACAAAGCATTGCGTCCATGGCCGCCGCCTTAACGATACCTCACAATCCCCATCGTGGCTACAACTACAGATTAAGTGATTCCATGTACAGCCCCTTCACCAGCATGGTCTTTCCAGACATGGCCATCATGGCCCATGCTTTGGGCAAGTATCTACTTCATGTGGAACGAAACAATTACGTTGCCATTCTGCACACACAAATGACGGATGTGGGGGTACAGCGGGCCGAAGCGCTGGGGATAGGCTTGGAAACCTCGGGCAAAGTAGAGGTTTGGGAAGCATTCTCCATGGCGACGCCTAAATGGTACATGAGACCACCCAATCGGGAACCACTTGATGTGCTGAGACGAATCTACGAACGGGGATTTCGAACGATTGTGGTGACAATGGAATACTTCTATCTGGAATTACCCGCTATTGCCGATGCCGCGGAGGCACTGGGCATGAACGACGGGGAGTACGTGTGGGTTTTCACTGCAACCTTTGAAATGGAGGCCATTTACCATCTACAGCAAATGTCATCCGAAGAGTTGAAGAAACTAGGATTGGATTCCTTTGCCAATGTCACCAAGCTTCTAGCAGGTTCGGCCCTGATACAACCTGTGGAACCGCACCAGTATCGTGGACAAGATTCGGATCCTTTTTGGCATCACTGGCACAACCAAAACATATCCTTTGTGGAACGCCTCAATGAACTCTATGTCAACAATACGCATCACTACGACGACAACATGATGGATAAACCCGCCGAAGAAGATTTCTTTCATACCCACAGACCTCAGACTGGAACCGCATATTTGTACGATGCTGTCATGGCGATTGGAATTGGAGCTTGTGCGGCCCAGCAGGAGGCCGGTGGCAGTGCCGTACAAGACATCTCAAGGGTATTCAAAAGGCCAACTTTTCGGGTGCCACTGGAATGGTCGCCTTTGATTCCACTAGAGGCTTTCGGAATACACGCTACGCCGAGACTACCACCTTGGGAGTCTTCAACTTGTATCCTCCTGGACAAGATGACCCAGGTAACAACAACCACGACATGGCTAGTCGAAGCTTTGCCGAAGCGTTCGTGTTGACCGAGACAATCCAGGCGATAACAGGGCCTGGGGGACAAGAAAAGATTTACGGCCAACGAAAGAATGCAACGTGGACGCAAGTGGGACCAGAGTTCGTCTTTGCCAGTGGCAAAACTACACCTCCGCTTTTGCTCGGGGATCTGCCCGAACAAAACTACCTATCCAAAAGCTTGCACACCACGGGCCTTACTCTCATGTCTATTGCCTTGGTAGCATGCGGGGGGTCGATTGTATGGATCTTTTGCCATTGGAACAGTCGCATAGTGAAAGCATCCCAACCGCACTTTCTTTGCTTGGTCTTGTTTGGTTGTATGGTTGCCTCCTTTGCCATCTTTGTCATTTCTTGGGATGAAAGCTACGGTTGGACCGTGGAGCAGCTGGACAAGGCATGTATGGCAATCCCTTGGCTGTTCGCGATGGGATTTATCATCACTTACGGAGCTTTGTTCACAAAGGTAAGCCCCGAACGGTACCGTATGAGTGAGTGCGAGCGAAATGGCATGAAGAAAACTCATGATTGTAGCACTCTGTGTGGTGCAGCTTTGGAGGATACACAAAGTCTTGCAGTTCCCACGGCGCAAAATTGCGACGGGATACAGCTTACAATTCAGCTTTACAGCTTTACAATTAGCAGGCTTATTCTAGAAAATA